TTTAAATTGATTTTATCAGCATCTGAATGTGATTAAACTGAAATGGAAATTGTGATGGTTTTCATGAGAATTTCACTGTTTTCTGGAATTGAACATGATTGGAATGAAAATGGGAATTTCATTGTTTTTCTGGAATTGAGCATGATTGAAATGAAAATGAGAATTTCATCATTTTTCTGGAGTTATTGCACCGAGCATGATTGGTTTGAAATGAAACTGTTTTCATTGGTATTGAGTACAGCATGTCTATTTGGAATTGACTGAACTGTTTTGATGAACTGAGAGTTTGTAAATTTTGAGTTTTCTGATAAATCCATGCCCACATGGAATTTTTCTGGTTATTTCTGAAATTGGGATTGATTGTGAAATCCGGGTTTTTCTGTAAATTCTGCATGGTTTTGTCTCGAATATAGTCATGATTACTGATTACTGTGCCTGCTAGTGGGAGGTTTATAAACGCTAGCACATGTCGACATGTATTTCTATAGAACCGGTTCACCCTACCAATGGGGTTAAACATTGGTAATTACTGTCGCCTACCAGTGGGAGTTGTAAACACTGGCACCATTACTGACGCTTGCCAGTGGGAGTTGTTAAACACTAGCACTTCTGTAACCTTGCCTATAGGGTTAAACATTGGCAACTACTGTGCCCACCAGTGGGAGGAGGTTTATAAACGCTAGCCATGACTTATAGATGAGACTACTGAACTGAGTTTTATTCTGCATGAACGGTTTGTCATGAAGGCTTTGATATTGAACTGAATCTGATTCTGTTTTAATGGTTTGTCATTGAACGTTTTGCTATTGAACGGAACTTGATTCCGCATTAACGATTTATCATTGAGAGTTCTGTTATGTTTACATGGTTTGTCTGGCAAGCTTAAAAGTTTTACCCAAGGGCTATCCATATTTACTTACTGAGTTATCTCATAGTTTTCCTTGTCCACCATTTCAGGAAGCGATACCGAGGATGGGGAAACCGAGGAGAGTGACGAGTTAGAAGGCTAGCCATTTCAAGATTGGTATAGATTTAGAAATAAATCATGCTCTTGCAAGCTAGAGTGTGTTTGGAGATTTTATGATATCAGAGCAGATTGTAAAATTTTATCTTGAAATTTTGTGGTATCAGATTGTGATTTGAATAAGTTCCGAGCCTTATGCACTTATGGGACCCATCTCACGAGTGCACAGCGTCTGTCGCGTCCCCAAATTTGGGTTCTAGGGCGTGACAATGCCGCTAATGACAACACTGCTTTAAAAACAAGTCAAAACATGCTTTTAAAAACTGTACGGGCATTATCATAAATTTACTTACCTCACTTGCATAAAACCGAAAACTTGATCTCAATGCTAAACTGACAGAATGATCAGGAACCTAATCAAAATATCCAAGAATTAATTACCGTACCACAGATTCAAAAGTAAAATCACCATGACTACACTCTAATCACGATGCTATTCCTATCAATCTCCACATGACCAGACATCTCCAAATTTGTTCTTATATTACAAACTGAACATTTAAATCTCCGTTAATTGTTGGCCATTATTGTGTGAACAGTGACCGTGAACAGTGACCGTGAACAGTGACTGATATTCTAGGATTCAACTACAGCCAGCTAAAAGACCAGAAAAATGGATATTTCATCAGATTTTTCAAAGCAGAAACGGACTGAAAAGGAGCAGAAAATAGTAGCAAATTGCAGAATTTTCTACATGAACAGTAACTGGTACGTGTGAACAGTAAAATCTTTGGCAAAACAGCAGGATTTTCACGCAGAACAGCAGCTAAATTTCAAGCCAAAACATGTTTATTTCTACATGAACTAAGCCTAAAAAAAACACTTTTAAAGGCTGCTAATTTCTTCCCCTATTTCCAGCAGATTTTCGGACACACAAGGCAGCAAATAAATGGACAAATTTGGGGCTTGGAGGGGCAGTCAACATACTAGAATTTTCCTAGCAAAAACCGGACTGCAGTTTGGGGGAAGAGCCGACGGCAGTGCAGGGGACTCATAGGAACTACCCAAAATTCAAGAACGAAAACACAATTCAAATTAAACCCAAGCCAAATCAAAGCTGAAAAGATGAATTTCATGTTGTTTCCTTACCCAAAAACCCGAAATTTCACACCCACCAACAGTGACAGCGGACGGAGGAGAAGAACAGCAACAGATCTAGACTTTCTTGGCTTTAGAGAGAGTCCTAGGTTCAAAAATCTTGTTATTTAACAAGAAAAGGAAAGGAATTTCATCAAAATCTTACCAATTTTTCAAGGGAGGAGGGAGTCAGTGTCTTGGGGCCTTGTCGGGAGATGCAGAAATCGGGAGGAAGAAGAAGCTGGAACATGTGTGGCCAGAGGAAAGGTGCAAATAAG